TATCCTTTCCAAGCCCTGGATTCCTCAAGTATAAAATGAGGATGACAATAGTAGGTAATTCTGGTAGTTGATGTTGGGATTATATGTGATTATGCACAATTCCTGGTACATTGTATGCACTCAAGAAACATATMTAAATGTATACTACTGTGTTATTGTCCTAGTCAGAAACATCATTTCCTTCTATCTGGACCATTGTGATAACTTTCTGTCTGCCTTTTCAGCTCTTCCCATTCTTTTCTTTTTCTTTTTTTATTCTAATTTGTTATATATGACAGCAGAATGCATTACAATTCATATTACAGCTTTTCATATCTCTGGTTGTATACAAAGTATATTCACACTATTCATGTCTTCGTACATGTACTGGGGTAACGATGTCCATCTCCATCAAACACTTTAGTTCCTGTAGCAGATCTGATAGTGCTACTGCCCTCTGTAGAAAGCTTCAGTGAAGCACCAAAAGAAAATAAAATCAAAAAACAACCCCCCAAACAACAATCCAAACAGAACAACACAACACAACACACACAAAACACACAAAGCTTTAGCACATCTTGCTGTGTTTATAAGCAAACTTCATGGCATGTAATTCATAGTTTCTTGCTCTATTTCTTTGAGAAAGAGACAGATATGGAAACTGGTAAGAATTAACAGTAAGGAGCCTCAAGCCTTGTTTTGACAATAAAAGGCTGTGTGACATTAGATTATCCCTTTACATGGTGTGGGATCCAGTTTTCTAATCACAAGGTTAAGTAGTTGTTTGGTTAATGGTTTTATCAAGATCTGACATCTAGTTATTGACCAGGCTAAACTTATGTCAAGTCTTCTGACACACCAACAACCCAGACCTTTCCATACAATGCTGACAACTGAGAACCTTATTTCTGATTTCTTATTACTGGAAATAACTTTGTTAATTTTTGGGAAACAGATCTACATGAGATATTTTTGATGGCAGTTATTTAAGTGTTTAGAATTACTTAGATCTATTTATTAGTAATTGGTAATCTGAAAGACAGATATTTGTCTTCCATATTTTCCCCATCRGATTGTTCTGTGGTACACCCATGTGATTACAGTTGACAAAGTTTTTGGGAAACCACTATTTTGTACAATCCTCCTGCTCTAGGTCCCATCAGTCCAGACAGAACACAATGCAGTCACTTGTTCTAGGTGCCTTGTAATGAAACTAAACTTCAAAATGGAACAGTTTTCCTAAAGACCAATATAATAAGGAAGTTTCCCCTGTTTCAACCTCATAGGGAAGGTAGCCTTGAAAGACTACTTTTTGTTTTCTGTTTCTGCTTTTTTTTCTSCCCTTTTCTGACCATGTTTTCTTTTTTAATTTATTGGTTCTTTTTAGTTATACATGACAGCAGAATTCATTCTGATACAATTATACAAGCATGGAATATATCTTATTCTAGTTATAGTTCCATTCCTATGGATGTACATCATGATGTGATTCACAATAGCAAAGCTAAGGAACCAACCTAGCTGCCATTCAATAGATAAATGGAAAAAGAAAACGTGGTATGTGTGTATGTGTGTGTGTGTATATATATATATATATATACTCCATGGTGTGTGTGTGTGTGTGTGTGTGTGTGTGTGTGTGTATATATATATATATATATATATATATATATATATATATATACTCCACGGTGTGTGTGTGTGTGTGTGTGTGTATACACACACACACACACACACACACACACACACCATGGAGTATTAGCCATAAAAAGAATGACTTTTTGGTTTGTTTCTTTTCTCTTTTTGGTGGTGCTGGGGATCCAACCCAGAGCCTCTTGTGCATGCTAGGCAACTGCTCCACTGCTGAGCTAAACCTCAACTCCTATCTTTTCTGTCTATAAAGTCAAGGAGATCTAGTGGAATGAACTAACTTCTTTTTTTTTGATATTTTTGATATTTTTTTAATTGTCAATGGACTTCATTCTATTTATATATATGCTGTGCTGAGAATTTTACCCAGTGCCTCACACATGCTAAGCAAGCACTCTACCACTGAGACACACCCCCAGCCCATGTACTAAATTCTTGATGTATGAAACTGTGAACAAAAAATTGGAGAAATAAGAGAAAATATTGTTAAATTTTGTATTTTGCTTTGTTGGTGTGTCAGAAGACTTTGGTGTGTCAGAAGAACTCTTTGTAGTGAGTGTAAAATTAACGTATGCCATCCTGACAAGAAATCCAAGTAAATACAAAGATGCAGTTATTCTAATTCTATAACCTGTAAAACATAAAACAATCTTGATTTTCTCTCTAAACTGAAGACTTTATTATGGACATTAAGTTTAATTGTAATTATCTTAGTATTGTAAATTTTGCAGGGTCCCACATGGAGGGACTGGGGTGTGGTTTATTGGGCTCTATCTGCCCATTAGTCATCAGATCTGGACACAAAGCTGGCCAGTGTTGGAAGTAATTTTACCTATCTGGGATACATTTTCCTCATTTGATAATCTTAAGTATATTTCAGATGCAAAGTTTTGTGACCTTGTGATATTATTACCCATGAAAAATATTAATTCCTTAGATTTCAAAAATAATACAAGGACTTACATTTCTAGGAATATAGTAGGATGAGTGTCTTCAAACTATTGGCCATATGTAGACACATTTTACTAAATATGAAATCTTTGGTGTTGTTCAAGAGAAACTATATTTAAAAACATGAAATCCTCTATATAAGAAAATATAAAGCCATAAATTAATATGCAAGCAATTTTCACTCATCAATTTATTTTAATTATTGAACAAAGTTCAAATGAGGAACCTAAAATTGTATAAACAGAAAGGAGGTATACAATTATGATTTACTATAGACAAATGCTTCAGTATTAATTTTTTAATAGAACTGATCATTGCTAATTTTACTTGAAAGTAAACAATGTACACACATAATGCACAAAAATAAGATACATATGGAATCTGTCAAACCACCTCTGTAACTCTGCATAGAAATTTGCTTATGCATAGAAAAACTAATATAAAGGCACAAAAATGAATTTAATAGTCATCCATTTTATTTTCTACTTTGACTAAGTGTTAGGTTTTTTTTTACAACTTTTAATGGATATAAATTAAAATAATTCACTGGCCCATTTATATATATTTTATAATTATTTGAGTACTGTTGGAAATACTATTAGAAAAATGTCTGTTGGTTTAAAACCATTTAAATCTTTAAATTTATATTTTCTGTACTAAAAAGGCAATGAAAAGAAACATCTGATTCTGACCCACATTGTTGGGTGGGCATATTTCAGGGTTATTCACTGAATCCAGACTGTTGCACCTTATAAAAGTGAAAATGAAGACCCCTGAAATCGAAGTCATGACACAGCTTTTGATTGAAATCATAAAGGAGCAACCTCTGTGTGCAGCCTCCCATATCCCCACTGCAGAACTCAAATGTCTCGGATCTGACCTATTTGTAAGTTGCACATGGCTATTGATACAGGTGTGCATTCAACTATTACATTATTCCAAAATAGTGCCCAAAAGATCTTTAGTCAAAGATTTGACCATTAAGTTAACACTGGGTTAAAATTCATGTGTTTCAAATACAACTGAGAGATTAAAAATGGAGATAAGTTCATTTAAAAGCTGTTTTCTGTGACACTTTTTCTAAAATGGGCTGATTAAAAATCAGATGTCCACAGAGTGAACAATTTTATGGCTCTAAACAAAGGAGGCAAGTTACAGATTTTATCCACAAACAAAATCACATTTGCCTTTGTTGAAAAGACAGGCTTTAAAAACATTCTTTCCTTCCTAATTGTATCAAAAGGCAAGTTTTATACACAATAAAAGAGGAAAAAATAGCTATAATGAATATTATGAGTTTGAGGGCTAATTCTTTTTGTACCTTAAATAAACACATAGTTAAACCTAAATGGGAACACTTCCTAATGATATTTAATGGCTTGAAGCGAAGGACTGTTATTAAAATGCTGGTTTTTACAATTAGCAGCTATGAGAACAAAGCTAAATTCAAAATAATATACTTAAACTATCAATTCACTACTTTCAGACTTGACTTCTTGTGGGTCTGTTGGAGAAAGCAAAAGAAACTCCAGGTTACTGGCTCTCTCCACCATAAGGACTGTTTGTCAAGATGCTGYGCAGAAAACTCAAACAAGAGACCTGGACTCAGTCCAGTTCTTAGGTAGCTGTTCAGCACTAGGTTTACCACAACCTTCCCCAAGTAATGGTACCTCATAGTTTTGTTAAATAAAATATTGAACATTGCATGTAGGCGATAGATGATAAAGGTAGAGCCTAGTTATTGAAGGTATTGGATTGGCCCATATGAAGCTGACATTTCTAGAGATATTACCAAATGACCAGATTTCAGACCTTACTGTAAGATGGTCCCCTCCTAGGGGCTGTAGGGACTCTAATAAATATCTGCCTGAGGGAAAAGGAGAAAAACCTTCTTTACTAATCTGCTGATACTCCTTTTTCCAGGTAATAAAGCTTAATGTCCAAATTTCCCACTACTCCTTTGAGGTTGGGCTATGCTTAGGGACTCACTTCCTATGAACAGAACAGAGAAAAGCATCAGTAGTAATTTCACAGTGTAGAAACCCACTTATAGTGTAAATGGTAAGGCCAGGTCCTTGGTGGGGTTGGAGCTGATGGTCATGGATGACCATTTTTATTAGTGACTGATTTATGACATGTGAAATAAAGTACACAACCACAGAGCTTGGGTATTAATATAGCCCACTCCCTAAGTCCCCAAACAAATCAACACTTATATCTTGCTAAACTGAGCATATTAAACTCATTGCATCAAATGGCTATACTGCCGTTTCATGAGGCTAAGCATCACAAATACACAAGAAGAAGGCAGGTACCAGCACCCCAGTTTACCTGACCTTTTAAATATCAATATCATAGACAAACCTATTTAGGCTCTTGATGATCCAAGTATGCCCCTAAAAGCTTGATTTCAGTATAGTTTAAATATTGTTGATTTCCCTTTGAGTCACCCTCCTTGGAACTTGAGGCAGACGTTTCCGGAAATTTCCACTCAACATTATGTAGAGAAAAGGGTTAATGCTGCTGCCAGCATAGCTGAGGCAGATGGAGAGGTAGTAGACTACGTAGAAGGCCATGGTGGGCTGCTCTATCTGTAAGTTCACCAGCTGTATCACGTGGTAGGGGGAAGCACTTAGGATGAAGACTGCCACCAGTACCAGCACCATCTTTGTCAGCTTCATTGCTCTCTGCTTTGGGACACTGGGATTGTAACTGCCAAAGAGACTTTCAGTTAGAGCATGAACAGTCAGAGGAATTAAGGGATAACAATTCTCTAGAACTTTCTGGACAGTTCATAATGTCTTTGCAGTGAAATATGAAGCTCATTTTTATATTTCTACTTCAGAGTATTGTGCAAAGATATATATATATATATATATTTCATTCCTGCTAAAAACTTACCAAAGTTTATAAAGTTGGACCATTTTGAGAAAAAATATAAATAAATAGCACTGAATGATACAACTCAATGTTTGAAATGAGCATACCTGAGTCCATAGTGATAGAAACATATGCTTAAATAAAATGRGAGGAGAAGAGACAAATCTTCTTTACATATCTTTGATAATCCCCTTTCCAGGAGATAGAGCTTAATTCCTAATTTCCCCCTGCTCAATTCAATTTGAGCTATGCTTGGGGACTCATTTCTCATGAACAGAGCAGATAAAGGGGTAAGTAGTAATTTTACAATGGAGAACATTGGCAAACCTACCTCTGTGACTTCTGATATATTGGAATGATTTCCCCCCAAGTTCATAATTATAGTCTAATCATGATAACAGTATCAGAAAAAAAAACCCAGAATATGAAACATTCTACAGGATATCTGGCCAGTACTTCTTAAGATTGTCAAAGTCTTGAAAAACAAGGAAAGTATGAGAAAATCCCACAGACTAGAGATCCTGGAGMGATATGACAACTAAATGCAATTGTTAGTCTGGATTAAATCTTGGAAAGAGGACTTTAATGGAAAAACAGGTAAAGTCCCATAAGGATAGGGTTTAGTTGATAATAACATACTATTGCCATTTTTTTTYGTTTTGACAAATATATCATTTAATGTAAGATGTCAACAGAGGGAAGATGAGTGAGAGGCATACAGGAACTCTCTTACTACCTTTGCTTCTTTTATGTAATTTAAAAAATTATTCTAACAAATAAATATTTTAAATTTCCAAAATTTTATCATGTTTTGTCACATTTAAACATTTAATAAGTAATTTCTCTGGGACATGATCAAAGCAGATGAATAAAACTTGGGAATAATATGAAAAAGAGCCAGGAAGCTTAAGATCATTTTAAGATGATGACTCCTCTGCATTTAATCAGAACAGGCACCAAAACTCTTATAATTTCTTGCATTTTGAGGCATAAATGGACAGTCTGATCTTTGTTTGATAAGATACTCTTAGCATTTCTGAAGAAAATGTTAAGAGCAACCTAATCTGATTTGGAAAACTCTTCTAAAAGAACTCAAACATTCCCTCCAGTGGTCCAGATCCTGACCTTCCACATGATTCCATTGCGACATTCTTATGAACAAAATTCCCAGTGACATATTTAGAAACTAATTGTTTTTCTATATCTGTGGTTGTTTTCCTTTTCTGTCTGACAGACTAGCTTTTAAAATTGTAAGATTCCAAAGAATTTCAAGAAGTTAAGCTAAAATGCTGTGATCCAAGAAGTCTTAAACCAAGGGTTAGTCACAAATTTTGATTGATGGATTAAATTGCTTACATATACTTTTCAAAAAATCTTCTCATTGTTAGATGAAAAGACCTCCCATGTTCTTGGATAGGAAGGATTAACATTGTCAAAATGGCCAAACTACCAAAAGTCTTATACAGATTTAATGAGATTCCAATTAAAATCCCAACAACATTCCTCATGGAAATAGAAAAAGCAATCATGAAATTAATTTGAAAAAAATAAAAGACTCAGAATAGTCAAAGCAATTCTAAGCAAGAAGAGTGAAGCAGGAGGCATCGCAATACCAGACATTAAACTGTACTATAGAGCTATAGTAACAAAAATGCCATGGTATTGGCACCAAAACAGACATGTAGATCAATGGTATAGAATAGAAGACACAGAGACTAACCCACATAAATGCAGTTATCTCATACTAGAAAAAGGCACTGAAAACATACATTGGAGAAAAGAGCGCATATTCAACAAATGACACTGGGTAAACTGGAAGTCCATATGCATCAAAATGAAATTAAATCACTATCCTCATCATGCACAAAACTAAACTCAAAGCGGATCAAGGACCTAGGAATTAGACCAGAGACCCTGTACTTTCTATAGAAGAAAAAGTARGTCCAAATCTTCATCTTGTCAGAGTAGGTCCTGACTTCCTTAACTAGACTCCTAAAGCACAAGAAATAAATTCAAGAATCAATAAATGGGATGGATTCAAACTAAAAGGCCTCTTCTCAGCAAAGGAAACAATAATGCAAAGAGAGAGCTACAGAGTGGGAGAACATCTTTATTACATGCATATCACATAGAACACTAATTTACAGGATATATAAAGAACTCAAAAAGCTAAACACCAAAAAATCAAATAATCCAATCAATAAATGGAAAGTAATTGAACAGACACTTCTCAGAAGAAGAGATAAAATCAATCAACAAATATATGAAAAAATGTTCAACAATTCTAGCAATTAGAGAAATGCAAATAAAAACTAAGATTTCATCTCACTCCAGTCAGAATGGCAGTTATCAAGAATGCAAACAAGTGTTGGCAAGAATGTGGGGGAAAATGTACAGACATACATTGCTGGTGGCACTGCAATTGGTGCAACCACTCTGGAAAGCATTATGAAGATTCCTTAGACAACTTGGAATGGAACCACCATTTGATCCAGCTACACACTCCTTGGTCTATACCCAAAAGTCTTAAAATCAGCATACTACAGTGATGTAGCCATTTATAGCAGCTCAATTCATAATATCTAAACTGTGGAACCAACCAAATGCCTTTCAATAGACGAATGGATAAAGAAAATGTGGTATATATACACAATAACATATTACTCAGCATTAAAAGAGAATAAAATTATGGCATTTGCAGGTAAATGAATGGAGTTGGAGAATATCATGCTAAGCAAAGTAAGCCAGGCCCAAAAAACCACGGACCAAATGTTCTCTCTGATAAGTAGATGCTGATCCATAATGGGGAGGGTGGCATGGGAAGAATGGAGGAACTTTGGGTTGGACAAAAGGGAGGATGGTAGAAGAGGGGGTAGGAAAGATGGTGGCATAAGGACATCATTACTCTAGGTACATGTATGATGGCACAAATGGCGCTACTTTAGATTGTGTATAACCAGAGAAATGAAAAGTTGTGCTCCATTTGTGTACAATGAAATGAAATGCATTCTGGTGTCATGTATGATTAATTAGAAATTTTTTTAAAAAWTGTTAAAAATGTCTTCCCATTATTAACATTTGGTGTGCAGGGAAACCCAGCAATCTTGCCTTTCCAAAAAACAAAAAAACAAACAAAACAACAACAACAACCAAAAAAAAACAAACAAACCCCAAACAACAACAACAAACAAGCACCAAAATCTTCACAAAAGATGAAGTTTAATTTTTTTACTCAACATGCTGCATAATCACTGACATTTATTTGAACGGGTCAGTATAAATAATTTCAAATTGAATATAATAAAGAATCTCATRAGTTTATTGTCATTAGGTAAGTCTTTGGTTTTATTTATTTATACTTAATCTCCCTCTAATCTTAATGACACTCTTCTCTTCTAATTCAAGTATTAATGAAATCCTTTTCTAGTAAAAATATTAAAAGGGTGCACATAGCATCTTAGATATTTACAAATGTATAAAACTGTAAAATATGCAACTAAACCAATTAAATAATGTTGATGACAACTATAAAATTATTCTTTAGAATCTTGAGTTCTAATCACATTTTTATAAGTTACATCAATGATTTTAACATTTATCACTGAAAGATACTCAAACAGCTGTTTTAGAACATGTCTTATTTTCAAAACATGCCTTTAAAACCTATATAAATAATACGTGTATGTCTAAATGTGGTGTGTTTCAAGTAGTTGTTGCTTAAGGTCCTGTTGACGATATCTTAGCATATCTGAATTGTTCTTTTAACAATTAAAGTGAAAATAAGGCATATACTTACCATCTAGAATCCTTATTTTGTTGATACATCTCCCAAGTATAGCATAAAATTAAAATATAGCACATTAGAATCAAGGGTAGAGGAAAAAAGAACGTGGTTATTGTCAAATAAAGTGTATACCTATAAAAGAGAGAGAGAAAGATATTACTGTTATATTCACTGTAATAGGCATTGACTTTTGTAGTTTATGAGGCACAAATCTCTGATTTTTCAGGGTACAGGATAAAAGTCCCTGGGGAGGAGGTAAGAATCTTTGGGTACATTCTCAAAGAGAAGTCCTGCTGTTGATTGTTCACTGACAAGATTCTCTAACCAAGCCCAGGCTCAACCATACTGAGAGCAGAACAGAGGCTATTCATTATCATTATCTTTACTATTAACATGATCAGGTAACAGCAGATAGCATTATACGGTAGGTACTGGCCTAAGTTCTTTGAATATTTTAACACACTGAATCTGTGCAACACCCTAAGTATCATGCCTTTAGTATCCTCATGTGACAAGAAAAAACACTGAGGCACAGAAGGGATAAGGGACTTGCCCAAGGTTACCCAGCTCATAAGTGACTGAGATGGCATTTGAACCTAGACTAGCTGTTGGACTCCAGAGCCTTTGCTAATAACCTTCTCCCCGTGGGGAGAAGACCTTGTTGTAAAATCAGGCTGTCTTTCCTCTCTGGTCTTCCAGGGAGAATTCTCAGGTATGCCAGCTCCATTCTTGTACAGATCCAGGTGTCCTCTTTCCTGGCAGGACTCTGCCTTGGTGAAAGGAGTAGGCCCAGATTGGTGGAAAGGTGGCAGAGAATACAAGGATCACAGGGACCCTGAATATAGCACAGGAGGTTTAGGCTTAGTGCACCTTAAGGACTTGATTCTAGGGGAACGACAGAGGCTACACCCTTAGGACATCCCCTGTGATAAATCAAAGGTGAGTATTGGGCTGGGATTGTGGCTCAGCGGTAGAATGCTCGCCTAGCATGTACTAAGGCCCTGGGTTCGATCCTCAGCACCACATAAAAATAAATAAATAAAGATATTGTATCCAACTGCAACTAAAAAATAAATATTAAAAAAAAGGTGAGCATAGCCTGAGGCTCACTATGTGAATGTGCTCTCCTTCTAAGGAGGTAGGACTGTGTTACTCTCAGTCCTAGTGATTAAAATATCATTTCACCTTTCATTTGGTTGCTGTTTTATGTCTGTGAGGGCAACAAATGCTGGTGGGAGAAATAACAAATAATCAATGGTACATATTACATTGTTATAGACTGAATATTATGTTCCCTCCAAATTTGTATGTTGAAAGCCTAACCCTAAATGTGATAGGAGGGGTGTTAGAAGCGGGGTCTTTGGTAGGTAATAAGTGTAATCAGTGCCCTTTTAAGGAGAGACCCTTGAGTAATAAGGAGAGGTTAGAAGGAGAGGTTGGCATGTGAGGATAGGAGGAGAGATTGACAATTGCAACCCAGAAGAGAGCCCTCACTAGAACATAGCAACTGACCACCATAGCACCTTGATCTTGGACTTCCAGCTTCCAAAACAGTGAGAGATAAATTTCTTTTGTTTACAAACTATGTAGTCTATGATACTTTATTATAGCATTTATTATAGTTACATACAGTTTTTTTAAAGGCATTTGTGGCTTCTAATTCTCTCAGGCTACGTCTACATAATGCAGAAATGATTTATCCACTTGAGAACTGATGGAGTGGGAAAAAGAATCTGCCAGAGTGACTTGAGAGAATGCATATAAAAGACACCTACTCAGGATGTGCTCAAAAAATTCAGTTGTAGACTCTAGTGTTATGTTCCAAGTTTTAAGTAGAAAATTTTTGACTTAATTTTTTTCTTTTCAAATTAAGGCATAAAAATGGCCGATTAATTGTTATATTATTTTCCCAGGGATTCTGTAACAAATTACCATAATCTGGGTGTCTTAAAAAAATAGACATTTATTCTTTCACAGTTCTGGAATCCAAACGTCTGAAATGAAGTTGTTAGTATGACTGGGTCCTTTTAGAGAAGCTGAAGGAGAATTTGCTCCATGCCTTTTTTCCTCGATTCTGGTGATTCCTATCAATCCTCAGTGTTCCTTGGCTCAAAAACATTTAATTGCAAATTCTGCCTCTGCCTCTTCAAATTTTCCCCTCCTTAGCCACCGGATTTAAGAATCACCCTAATCCAGTATAGTCTCAGACTAACTTAATTACATCTGCAAGGACTCTGTTTCCAAATAAGGTTATGCTCACAGGAACAGTGGGTTAGAACTTGAATAAATCTTTATGGGTGTCACAATTCAAGCAAACTACATTGCACATTGGTGGGGTTTAAGTCTGGGTACCTCTTAGAGCCTTTTGGAAATTCATCTTCTCCCTTGATTGCTAAGTTCCTGCTATGTTTGCTCCCATGGATTTTTAAATACATATTTAAATATATTTGTGTCTAGTGAGGTTACATGATTAAATTCAAAATCTTTTTCTAAAGGTTATCCTCTCTTTCAAATCAAACTATCACCTGGATTGTGTAAAGGAGAAAACTAAGCAGAGAGACTGGTGAGAAGAGGGTCCCCGAGGACACTCTTTAAGCCTGCTCACGTGTTGACAAGGAGGATGAAGTACTTCACAACTTAATTCAACTCTATTTTTCTTATGTTTTAACAACTTACCAGAGTACATCGTCAGGGGATGTTAAATCAAAAGCACAACTCTCAACACCATCTTTAAATTTGATGACCTTCGAGTAGACCCAGACAGGCAACGCCAGAATAAAGGAAGCTGCCCAAAGGCCCAAATTGATGTGGATGGTCTTGTACCTTGTTCTCCAACTYGTTAGTCGAAATGGTTGGACAAGGGCCAAGTACCTGCAAAGCCAGTTAAGAAGGGTTTGGGAACAATCAATAAAAACACTGAGCTCCAAGGATGAATGGTTCATGACAAGAGTAAATTATTAGTATTATTATCCTCCCTGAAGCACACCTCTATCATGACAAAAAGAAAGTTATATTTTTTAAGAGCTTGCTGATACCTGTAGAGAAAACAACTCTTGACCCTGCAAGTCTGAATAAACCACTCACTGAAATAGCTGTCACTTCCACGAATACACTGATAATGGTAAAATTCCTCAGTGCAAAATTTTTCTTTGCCAAGGTGCTTTCCTTGTAAAGGAGGCTCTGGAAAACAGAGTCTTGGAATAAGGATTTCCTTCAGGAGGAAATGATCCTCTTCCCAGTAGGACTGATTGACATGAGGGCAGGAAGGAGGAAAGTGTGGGGGCTGATGGGAGAATTCCCCAGCGGGATGGCTTTACAGTAGGTCCCCCCAGCTCTTGGAGATTTGCTTCACAGAAATCACAGTGAGGATGAACAAGCCTGACTAGTGTAGGCAATGCAGATTCCTCCAGGAATTTAGGCTAGAGGCCAGAGGGAGGAAATGGACCAATTTCATGGGGAAGGGTTTTCTTTTTTCTTCCAGTTTAGATCAAGGGGGTAAAAAAAGAATGATCATTAATCAAACTTGAAATCCTGACATATCAAATACATTTGGTCCTCCAGAAAACCCAAGAATTTTTCAGAGCTAAGTGAAAGCTAAAGGGATAAAATAGAGCTGCAATTCAGAAGGAAGGCCATTTGAAAAAGCAGTTTGCTAGGGCTGGGAGAGTAGTTAAAGGTAGTACTAGCAGAAATTAAACAAATGTAAAAAATATTTTTGTTGGTCACCCTTCAATGGCTTTGTTGACTTCAGATAACATTCAGAATCCTTACTACGACCCACAAGCTCTTTCTCCACCTAGCCTGCCCGCCACCTGGGCTGCTTACTTATGCCAGGGTCTCTCTTGTCTTTGGTCTGAGATTTCTGTTACTATAACAAATATCTACGATAGTCAACTTATAAAGAGAAAAAGTTTATTTGGGTTCATGGCTTCAGGGGTTCTAATATGTGGGTGGTTGACTCACTTGCTTTGGGCCTGTTGCAAGGCAGCACATTATGGTATAAAGCACCTAGTATATTGAGATTGCTCACTTCATGGCCCAGAGGAGAAATAAAAAGGAAGGGACCAGAGTTCCACAACCCTTTTTGAGGACATATCCCCAATAACTTAAGACCTCCTAGTAGGCACCATATCTTAAAGATTAGACCATCTTCCACTAGAACCAATCTAGGGACCAATCCTTTAACACAAAGAACTTTGGGGGACATTCCAGATCCAAATTAGAACAATTTCATTCAAGTTCTTTTCCCTTTCAGGGCCCGGCATACACTATTCTACCTGTCTGGTGGGCTCTGCGTTTACTTCCTCCTCCTCTCTTTGAGTGCTTTTCTCTCAAAGAAGACTTTCTGACTACTCACTCAATTCAAGAGCCCATGACTATCATTGCACATCACAGGAGAACTCTACTTTTCCTTCTAGGATGTATCATTGTGTGGAAATAAACATTCAACCAAGTGATTCTATACTTAATGCCTGTCTCACTGCTGGAACATAAGTCCAATGAGGGCAGGAATCTTGATTACTAGTTTAAGTCCACAGTATACCCTGTATCTGGAATACTTATCAGAAAGTTTTGTTGAATGAATAGGGGATTGTAGCTCCTACTCACTGTCTTTAGATGTTCTGAAGAATTTACTTACAAAAGTAGTAACTAACGAAAGAATTTACTTACAAAAGTAGTAACTAACTAGCTTTTGTCTGGAGACAAATATTTTTTTAAAAATTTTTATTAGTGAATTATACATAACAGTGGGGTTCCTTTTTATATAATCATACATGCATGGAATATAATTTGCTCCATTTCAGTCCCTAGTGCTTCCTCTTTACTTTCTCCTTCCCCCTATTCCCTTTCCCCTACTCTACTGATCTTCTTTTTATTTATCTATTTATTTATTAATTAAATTGCTGCTTTCTAGATATACGTTAAGGTGGAATTCACTGTGGTATATTTATGTATGTACATATCATAATTTTGTCAATTTCATTCTGCATTTTCTCCCTTTTCCTGCCCCTCTTCTCGCCCCTTCAATTCTCTTCCTCTACTCCACTGATCTTCCCTCTATTTTTGTGGGATATGCCCTTTCCTTTTCCCCATTTACTTTGTTATAGCTTCTGCATGAAAAAAAAATTGACCCTTGACTTTCTGAGTCTTCCACATAACATGATGTTCCCAGAGCCATCCATTTACCAACAAATGCCATAATTTCATTTTTCTTCATGGCTGAGTAAAATTCCATTGTGAATATATACCACATTTGCTTTATCCATTCATTTGTGGATGGGCACCTGAATTGGTTCCATATTTTGCCTATGGTTAGTTGCACTGTTATAAAAAATGTGCCTGTATCTCTAGAGTATGCTGATTTTAGTAATAAATTTAGTAGTAAATTTAGAATAAATACTGAGGAGTGGGATAGCTGGGTTATATCTATGGTAGTTCTATTCCTAGTCTTTTGACATCTCTGTACTGCTTTCCAGAGTGAATGTACTAATCTGAAGTCCCACCAACATGTATGAGTGTACCTTTCCCACCACTTCCTTGCCAACATTTATTATTATTTGATTTCTTGATGATTGGAGGAGACAAATATCTTTATTTTGAATGTTTATATTTTTGTATGTATGGAGGTAGGAGTCAACTATTAAATATTCTATAAACTTGTAGTTATTACTAATCAGAGAAATGGAAATAAAGTTATTAGAAATACTTTAAATATATGATATATTACAGTGACAGTTAAAATGACTTAAATATAAAAACAATAAAGGATATTGATGGCAACAACATTTGGTTATGGCCTTACAAAGAAAACCCCATCACTCTTTTACAAAATGGCAGATTTGATTGAATTTTTATAAATTTAGTAGGGTTGGAACTATAAGAAATGCCAGGAAACATTTGTTTCTTGCCACCTGATCCTCTAGAATGATAGCCAGCAGAAAGAAAAATCAGAATGACTTAACTATGAAGTAAAATTTTAGCATCCTTGTCTATCCTGATTAAAACAAAACAGAAAGAAAATGGTATATTCAATTGTACAAAACAAATGCATGTGCATGCTTATCTACCCCCCACCCCCGCCCCGCCAGGCTCACACATCTGTAAACATTAGAAACAGAAAATTACAGGACAAACTTCCCTCTTAAAAAAAAAAAAGCCAGTTTCTTTTGCATCCAGGATATGGGTATAAAGACGCTTTTATTGTTATCCAAGAATGGGATTATCATTGGTAAATCCTATGCATCAGGTTGCTTTTCTACAGTGGGCTTGGCCTGTGCAGGGATTTCTCTCTGGTGTTGTGACACTGTCAAGCTATGGGCTTTTCTCAAGTTATAGTCAGTATTGGTTGCATTTGCTGAATAACAAGATCTACACAGTACAATATTTTAAAAATGTGGTATTAATATTATAAATTGAAAGGCAGGCTCTGTGTTTTGAGAACTCTTTTACTGAAAAGTGGCCGGATACAAAAAAATGCATAAAATGTTTCCCGTCATTACTCATTTTGTCAGAGCAAATGATTTATGTGAATCTTACCATTCTGTTGTTTAATCCATTTGAAGAACTTTCTATTACTTCTCTATCCCAAAAGGCCCACTTGGAAAGGTGAAAGAGGCAGAGCTCAAGTAGAAGTCCTGGATGGACTCAAGGAAATTAACACACTCTTCAGGACTGACATTCATTCATTCATTCATCAGTATTTTTTGAGCATCTATATGTCACAGACATTTGGGATGTATTAGTGGACAAAGACTCTGCCTTTGTGGAATCTACAGTGGAGGGGCAAGAGAGGCTAGACAATAAACAACACACACATATGTAAATGCACAAATTATGTGAGATATTTGAAGYAAGGGAAAAAGAAAAGGTAGATCAGAGCAAGGAGGATCAAGTGTGCTCAGTTGGGGTGGGAAGAAAAAGATAGATGCAAATGTTGAGTGTGTTGTTTTGTAGATAGCACACTGCTGCTGTGCGTATTATTGCTGTCTTTATGTCTCCATCTGGAGAGAGTTGCTTGGATGATGTGCGGGGTCATGGTATCTGGATGATACAGGACAATTTTAGCGTGCATGCTTCTTAGAGAGGACAGTAGTGAGATGATTACAAACAACTTGCTATTTCTAAAGTCAGATGGTCTGGGTCTGAACTGGACTCCAGAAGTACTGGAGTCATTGACTCCACAAGTACTCACCATCACCATTATCTTCTCAAATGAGATTAGCTTATGTGGTTGGCAAAAAGGTATGTGGTACCATAGCAGGGCACAGGGGAATACATTTCTTTTTTGTGATTTAAAATGGCAGCATTTGCATTAACCAAACATAAGTGTTGTGTAAAAGATGGTTTGCCTGCTGCTAGGTGGTAAGATGCATGTGAGACAGTGAACATACCAGAAACATACTTAAATGCTCAGTTCTGCCACTAACTCTCTATGTGCCCCCAGCATATCCCCTAATCACTCTGGGCCTCAGTTCAGGAAAATATGATTTACTGCAAGAAAGTTGGGTAGCCCGGGAGAGTTCATTTTGGTTTCTAATATTTCATGATTTTTTTGATCTTTTTTTCTTGCAGTGAATTGCAAATAAAACTGAGATCAAAAAGAAAGATTAGAAAAACAGAGATTTTAGTGTTTTACATTTTCCATTAAAAAGACTTCCATTAAAGTTGAAAAAATATTCCTAAGTCAGCAGTCTTACAATGAAGCAAACAAAGGAAGAGGAGCTTTGCTGTTATAAATGAACATTGATGTTGCTTAAATTGGAATGACCTTGGGGAAGCACAGGTGTCTCTGAATTGTACTGAAGTATTTCAGAGTCTCTTCACTTACCTGTCCACACTCATTACAGTCATGATGGCACTGCAGGCAAACTGGTTGCAGGTGTCCAGGGCTGTGATGGTAGTACAGAGAGGCCCCCCGAACACCCACTCTCCTCCTTGGGCCCACTGGTGAATAAGAAAAGGCATTCCAATAATGTGAACTAAATCAGCCACAGCCAGATTGCAAATATAAATGTCAGGGATTGTTTTTTTCCTTGACCTGAAAAAATAAAAAATAAAAATGGAAGGAGATTCAGGATGAACACTGAAAGTGTATAACTTCTTCAACCTATGCCACTTTTCACAAAATTTTGATTGCCCTAATGAATTTTAAAAGTTAAAGGAAAACGGACACAAATGCACAAGGAATGCCTATAGTCTTATGTATATTTAAACATTTTGAACTATTTATCTGATTACTAACTGTAATGTTTTAAAAGTACATCCACAAATTCTTTGATATACCTTCCAAATAGGTGGAGTCTAATTCCCTCTTTTTGAGTGTTGAACTTAATAAATTGCTTCTGTCAATTAGAATATGGTAGAAGAGATGCTGTGTGACATTTGAACTCAGGACACAAAGCAAAATGTCTTTGCTCTCTTGAATAACTGTCTTTCGAGGGAAGATGGCTGCCAGAWGGCTGCCACGTTGTGAGGATACTCAGCAACACTGTGGAGAGGTACACATGGGGAGGAACTGAAACCTCCAACAACCAGCTAGCACCAGCTTACCAGCTATGTGAGTGAATTAGATTGTCTAGCCCCAGACAAGCCTTTGATGATTGTGTTCCTGGGGGAGTACTTGACTGCAGCTTAATGAGAGACCTTGGGTTAGAGCAACCAGATAAGTTTCTCTTGGATTCCTGACCCTTGGAAACTATGTGAGATAATAAATGTTTATTGATTTGAGCCACTAATTTGGCAATAAATTACAGCAACTTTAAGGAAACTTTAAGCAAAACTCAAGCAAAAAGCTTAGTTTTTACTTGTTTCTAGCACCTAAAACAGCTGAACAGGAAAAATAAATGGTTTCTATTGTGCAATGCATTCTCCTCACCAGAGCTGAGATCACTCTTAGTATTTGAACCATTACTTAGAAATATTCCAGGAGAAATGAATCCAATAGCAAAGACTATGAATGAAGAACCTGAAATACAGACAGCAGAGAGGAATCTGAAATGAGTGAACCCGTAGAATGACTGATTCCCTGCTTGAGGAGGGGGTGAAATGAATGCAATGCTATCTAGGTGTAGCATACTCACCTGTTGGTGAAAAAGTCTTCTTACAGAAGAAATTTAAATTTAAAATCAGCTCTTCAAGGAACAGTCAACAAAAAATAGATATCATTTTCATCTGGAGGTGCTGTTCACGAATTCAACAAACATTTCACTGAGCGCCAATAATATGTCAGGCATAATATTGTATTCTGGGCCTACAAAGCTACATTTATAAACTTGGTCACTGAGGAGCTTATAGTGTAGATATGTATAAATGAATGATGGATTACATTACAATTTAATAAGATAAGGTAGAGTCAGGTGCAATGAGCACTAAGAAGGGATCAAGGCCGGTTTCTTGGCAGAGGTAGCATTTGAATTGAGGACAAATGCTAGGGATGCAGCTCAGCACTACAGCACTTGCCTACCATGTATAACGGCCTAGGTTTGATCTCCAGAACAGAAAAAAAAAAAAAAAGAACACATAAGAATGAGCCCTAAGACCATGCATGCCATAATTGCTAGTTAACTTTAGATCCAAAGTTATCACCCTGCTGTTTGGAAGCCAGTGTATGCCTTTATTATTCACTGGTTGCAAATTCTGTAGACTGTGAACTTTATTTCTAAACTGTCAAATTGTGTGAAACATCACATAGGGAGAGGCCATATTTTGCCCAGATCTTGGCAATATACACTGTATGAGGAAATTACTGACATTGAGTCCTGAATCAGAAGCCATACTCTAGTCATTGCTGATGCCACTAGAATAGGATGGCTCTTTGCCACGGGAGGTTGGTGGCTAACATCAAAATGACCAAGAGGGAAAAGGTGAAACATGCTTATTTTTCCTCTCTTTGAGGAAAGGATCATGTCAACCAAAAGGGCAGGAAGTGACTGTCCTTGGTCTTTTACCTCTTGTCTTCTCCAGGTCATTGGTGGAAGGACATTGAGAGGGGACAGGGAAAGGGACAGACATTATGGGTCAGGTTGAAAGAATTCCACACTGAAAAACAGTTGTAAATCCTAGTGTTTAAATTATATTATTTGCATTTGAATTTGGGTGTAAATCATGAGTGGTTGTTTAGTTCCTAGTTGTGGTAACCAGACCTATGGCCCTTGTTCTCCTTTAGTTAGGTACATATCATTTGCTGATAATGAATATGGTAATTCTATTGTGCAGATCATTAAATGGTAATTAAAAAAATAAATTAAAAGTGCTTATATAAATATTATATATAGCACAAAGAAATCTGAAGCAATATAAATAAGATAATATATTTATGATTGCTTTTTTACTGAAAAATAGCAGCATATAAAATTAAAAATAATTAAATAGAAGTTATAAAATTCTATCTATATAACTTACATTCTCTTTTGAGGTTTAATTTACCTTCAGATTTTCTGCTGTCGGACTTCATTAGACTTCTGTTTGTTATGACCCAAACATTTGAAATAAAAAAAAATAAGACAAAACATAGACGTGTGATAATTTTGGCTAGCATGTTTTCTATATAGTTAATGTAGCCATATCTAATGTTCACTAATTTGAGGAATGATAAAAATAAATTATGGTATTCCACAAGAGCACACAAGATATGACACAGATGTTGCAAATCATGTTTGGAAGAATATTTAATGAAATGGGAAAATACAATATTATTTCAAAAAATATTGACTGTGTATTGAGCATGACTTCAAATTTATTTTAAATACTTATTTAAAAATTATGAAGGAATAATGTCAAGTAGTCACAGTGATTATCTATTTGATATATGAATTTTCTTATGCTTTGTAGTTTCTGATTGTTTTTTATTAAAACCACGTTTACCTTTCATAGTCAGAAATAACAATAAATACTTTGCACTAAATATGACTAACAGCACATATGTTGGCTGCTCTGCTGGTCCTTCACCTGCTGGTTCTCAAGCCCATTTCCCATCCTTTCTGAGAGCTTTGTTCCCAGCCCCCCTTGCTGACTGGTTGGCCAACAGGTAACGCTGAAGGGTAGGAGGAGAGGAGGAGGTAGGGTGCTCTCTCTCCACTCCATTCCTGACATCTTGAACAGTGGCTGCTTCCCTTCCATGGCTCCAGTTTCTTCCTGCAAGTGTATGCCCCGGATCCCACAGGGACTCCCAATAAGGCAGTCCAGTCTCCTKCGGTCTATAATGCCACCTTTGCTCTTCCTTCAGTTGCAGGAGAAAGGGAAAGATGGAAAAGTGGCAAGTACAACAGGCAAATACGAATGACTAGAAACATTCCCACATCTCTGGCTATTAGCCTTCTACTCAGCACTATTGCCTCCTTGAGTTTCCAAGACTATTTCATCACTGCCAGTTTCTTTTCTGGATCTTATTATTTGAAACTTCTCCTCCTGTTACTCCTTCTCTTTTATTTTTTTTCCCATTGTTTTCAGTGTTTTGTATTATTGTTGAACTATTCCGTATGTTTAAATCTTACCTTCTTTGCTAGCCTATGAATTTTTTTTGGAGTCAGATGTGGCTGTAACATTTCTTTGCTATTTCCATTATTGATCATCATTCACATCGTCATCCTGGGAACTGATCTTGCTGTTAATTGGTCCTGTGAGGATTCTTCCACTCATAGTATCTTTTTAATTTTGATAAAACACTTATTTTTGTTAGGGTGGAGGAAATAGCCTGGAAGGTGACATCATAGCGTCTGGGTCAAGTTGGTAGGACTGCCACTTAATAGCTGTGTGATATTGGGCAAATTATTTACTCTCCCGAGCCTCTTTCTCCAAACAGCTATAATAGAGGTACTTCATCTTTGAGGATCAAATGAGTTTACAAATGTGGATTTTAGTTTCATATGCTCCACAAACTTTGTTATAGATATAGGTTAATTTAATGCCGAAAACACCCATTATGTAGAACATCTTATATAACATAAAAATATGGGCAAACATTTTAAAAAATKACAGTTATTAGTATGATATGTGGTTTATTTTTATTATACAGCATATGATAAAAATTTATCATCATGTATCATATGTTAAAAAATTAACATCTTGTATTGATTAAAAGTAGTAAAACTTAACTGTGAAAATAATCATTACAGTAAAGATATCAAGTGTGATGGGACACATGTGAAAATACCTATTATGCAGTACACCTTAAATAACAAAGAAGGGCAAACATTTTAAAAATTGACAGTTATAAGTATGAGCAGAGAACACAACAAAAAATGTGACATCTTGTGTTGATTAAAAGTAGTAAAACTTAACTGTGAAAATAATCAATACAGCAAAGATATCAAGTTTGATGGGGCACATGTGCATTAATTCTAAACCAATTTTGTCAAGTCCATAAAAACAAATAACCTGGGGCTGGGATTGTAGCTCAGGGGTAGAGCGCTTGCCTCACTTGTGTGGGACCCTGGGTTTGATCCTCAGCACCACATAAAAATAAATAACTGAAATAAAGATAATGTGTCCAACTATAACTAAAAAATAAATATTAAAAAAGAAAACAAATAACCTGTTCTTTTTCTCCACATTAAACATTTTGCTCAACTTGAGAGGAAGGAAGAAATGATCTGAAGTGAGGAGGGAGCAGTGGAGCAGAAGCAGGAGGAGGTCCTGGGGAGCAGATGTTCCTCAGTTAGGTCTATACTGGGATGGTCTACACAGAGGGGAAACATCTCACTGTCTATGCTCCCTGCATCTTCAGATGCCCAGATGAGTGAAAAGGGATTTCCTTCAGCCAAAACAGGTCACCTTAGGGTAACTCTTATTTCTGGAAAATAAAATAGTTGTGTTGCYACTTCAACCCCTGTCGGGGCTCCACCTCCAAAGATTTTGAGTTAATGAGTTTGTGGTGAAACCTCATGTTAGGATTTTTAAAAGCTTCCCAGGTGATTTTAATATGTGTCTGAGATTGAAACTCCTGGCTCTAAAAATTAACCGACCCAGMAGTAAGCATTGGACTAGGTCTTAACTGTTTTGAGATCAGCAACTCAGATATTACTGAATGTATGATGAAAATATCTGTGGAATCTTCTTTAATTATCTTAAGCAAATATTCCCTAAACCTGATTTCATTAAGCAAATCCTACAAGGGAAGGATTCACTTGATTTATTTAGAGAGTTTAGAATGTGTTCCCCACAGTACGGAAGAAAAGAAAAAGAAGTCCTTACCTTACTATTGTGAATACAATGAGAATGTTGCCAATCAGCCCTGTTAAACAGATAATCCCAATCATGGAAGGAAGGATGACTGTATCCACAATGCTGGGGGCTTCAAAAGCAAACTCTTTATTCCAGGATTTGTTTAAAATTTCAGTAGAGGTGTTCCAAAAGGTTGAGTGAAATGAATTCATTGTTCATGGGCTTCCAGTGTTAAAAGCTGTGAAGTAATAGGAGGTGATTTGTTTATTGAGTTTTCCAGTATAGATTTCCTTTACTTAATTCAAAGAATATTTGTTGGAGCCTCATTTGTACCAAGAGTTCACACAACACAATGTTATTATGGTTTAGATATTAGTGTCCCCTCAAAACTCATGTCTGGGACAATACAAGAAAATTTAGAGGTGAAATAATTGGGTTATGAGAGTTTAGCCTAATCAGTGCATTAATCCCCTGGTACGGATTAACTGGGTGGTAACTATTTAGGCAGGCAGATTGTGGCTGGAGGAGATGAGACCCTGGGAGTTCTTATATATTTTGTTCTTGTTGAGTGGAACTCTCTTTCTGCTTCCTGGTGCCAAGTCCTGAGCTGCTTTCCTCTACTACACACTTCCTCCATGATGTTCAGCCTACTCAGTTCCAGAGTTATGGAGCCAGCCATCTATGGACTGACACCTCTGAAACTGTGAGCCCCATATAAACTTTACCACCTTAAAATAGGTCTTGTCAGGCCTTTTAGTCACAGTAGCAAAAAAGCTGACACAGGATTCCAGGGTAAGTATGATTGGCCCTTTTTAATAATGATCTCATAGGTTACCAAAAGAGAAGGTCAACAGCAAACTACAGAACAGCACGAGAAGCACCATGCTTGTCTTCACACTATATTGTAGTTCTTGCTTTGAGCAGAGTTTATATTCGTTTCAGCATGTACTGGTACTGGTTGTTTACAACTTATGTCTAATTGTCTATTTGTAGTGGCTAGTATCTCAGCAACACTCAGGTTGTTAAACATATCTTTGTCTGCTTGTTAGTACATGGTGTATATCCAGCTGATTGTTTAGGATGGAATGGGTAAGAATTCTTGATGTGGTCCTTGGACTATTCAAGATAGTCAATAGGAATGGGTCAGTTCAGCAAAAGGTAGCTGTATGAGGGTAAAAGTGTTATGACCAGTGAAAGCACCATGTGCAAAGAAGTATACAGAGAGAAATGCCCCCACTGTTCAACCTAAATATAAACAAGTAAGCAAATAAAATATAACGGAGCTGAAAAATTATTTGTGCAGTCAACTGTCTTGGTAAAAGACATTTTAAAAATGTCTGTTTTCTGGTAACAATAAATTGGGTTACTTGAATCAATGTTTATAGCAGTTCAATTCCCAATAGCTAAACTATGGAACTGGCCTAGATGTCCTTCAACAGATGAACGGATAAACAAAATGTGGTGTATACACACAATGGAATAGTACTCAGCCATAAAGATAAATGAAATTAAGGTATTTGCCAATTAATGGATGGAACTAGAGACTATCATGCTAAGTGAAATAAACCAATACCAAAAACCTGAAGACCAGATGTTCTCTCTGGTATATGGATGCTAATTCACAATAAGGGGGCAGGGTAGGGAAAAATAGTACTTTGGATTAGACAAAGGGGAATGAAGGGAAGGGAGGGGGATTGGGAGTAGGAAAGTTAATATAATGAATTGAACATTACTTTTCTATGTCCATATATGAATACATGGCCAATGTAATTCCACATAATGTACAACCAGAAGAATGGGAAGTTGAAATACATATATACATATAATTTGTTAAASTGCATTCTACTGTCATGTATAAAAAAAGAACAAATAAATTAAAAGGAGATTTTGAGGGAAACAAAAAAAGTCTAGTGTTTTGTAATTATAATAACTTAAGGCACAGGAGAAAAATGAACTCATATCAACTGCTTTTAAAGCATTTCTGTAAGTGTAAAAAAGATAATATGGATTATATATTCAAATGAGCAAGTTTGGGGGACCTGCAATGACCTGCATTTTTAGAAACAATGATTTAGATTAAGATGAGCAAACTTTTCCCAATGAATTATGTATAGCAATTTCCGTGATCTCCCAAATCATTTTATGAATTTCAATATTCTCCAAATATAATCTGGAGGAATATGGCTCCTCAAATTTTAGTCAGCAGGCATACTAATTAAGTCTATTTCTAAGACTGATGGTCTGACATTTAAGATTTGGGAGTATAATCAGTTTAGCTACATGTTAATATGCTTTAATGTTTAATAAAAAATAAAATTGCAAAGTCAGGGGACTTACTTATTGTTGACAATTCCCAGGTTACTGAAATCTAAACTCAAAGTGCTTCAGTCTCACCCCTTCACCTCTGTGTACCTCTTGCTTTCTTTCTTTCTCTCCCCGTTATCAAGTCCTCTGAGGAAGATGGGAGATTCAGAGTGGGACATAATTCTGTTAAATAATTCTCTGTGGGGAATGAACTCTGAAAGCAAACTGTAACCTTTAATCTATAACCTTTACTTGTGTCTCAAATACCTGACAAAGTAAGAGCACTGTTCCTTGGCAGGCATTGATTTCCTTTGTGTCAATTAAAACTTCATGCTTAGCAATTTGGGCATAATGGTGCACCCATGTKGTCTCAGACACCTGAAGGTTAAGGCTGGAGGATGGCTTGAACCCAAGAATTCCAAACTAGCCTGGGCAACATAGTGAGACCTTTACTCCAAAAAGCAAGAAAGAAACAAGCAAAAAAAGGACTTCATGTGTAGCACCTCCTGTAAATGTTGAGATTTGAAGTAAAGACAAGTTGATGTATTAGTGGAAATTCTATATAATTAAAATTTTGTGAATCCTATTCTCAATAGGCTGTTCATTAGTTAAGGAATAAAATATTAATTCACTGATGTGTTCAATATTGGACATTTAAAAAGTCTAATTATTAGTATTGATATTGTGTTCCTATTTTAAATATCATTAATATTTACTTAGCTGTTTTAAAGTACCGTTTAAACAGAGTTAATTCTTCAGAATGTTTTTATTATATTTAAGGGTAATTTTCATATAGGAAAACTACCCCTAATTTTATGATAAAATCTTGATGCTATGTATGATTAACTTCATAAAAAATTCTTTGCAGACACACCCGTGCTGTCTCTATATCAGTGTTCATGTGGTACTGCTGGGTGAACCCACCTAGCCTGTATTAAGAGAAAGCACTTTTCCCTTGAAACTTTTTAAAGTATAAGACTTTTTCTCATTTCTTAAGTTGTAAGTTTTGACACTTATTTGGACTATGACCCCAGAAAACAAGTCATAAGCAGTTGAGAATGCTTTTTTTGTAGCAAGATTTTTTTCTAAAAAAAAAAAAAAAGAAAAAAAGAAAGAAAAGAAAATTTATGCTTGTGAGGTTGGTGTTGATAGAAGACTGACAGTGTCAGTTTAATGTATTCTGATTCACAACGTTCATCTATATACACTGACATCTTCATACATACGCAATTTATTCATGATGACTAGGACAAGCAAAATGAGGAATGAATTTAAAGGAAATTAGACTATTTTTTAAGAAAAAGTATGTTAAGAAGTCTGAAAAGTGTTAAGAAAATGTATATGGTAGAGAAGAGCATGATGCACAGAATAAATCAAAAGGACTAGCAGATGATGTATTCATTTATATTGCAGTGATAATTTCACAGTTGTGATTATTTTTTGAAATAAAGCCTAAAATAATTATTCTCAACTTTTTTTTTTCCAGTAAACAGAGTCATGACAGGATGAAGTAACTGATGAGTCAGCTTTATGGCTGCTTGTTTTATTACTTTAAATATCAGAAAAATCATCTGCTAATAATTCGAAGTTATTGAGGTGTTTTGATAGCATCAAAGTACAAAACAGAACAACTACATTTGCCTGTCAACACTCCTTCCCACACACACCCACACACCTGTGAATCCAAGTTGTGCAGATTTGCTAAGTTATATCCCACATAACAGGAGGATCTCATTTTTCACCTCATCCACCCATCTTGTTCCATTGTATTGAAACTCTGGGGAATCTCCATTTTTAATGATCTCTCAGCATATACTTTATTTTATGTCATTCATTCTTTCAACATACATAGTGTCTATAGCAGTGAATAAGATCAACAACTACAACAACTTCATCGAACTCGATGAAGACCTCAAGTCACACCCCAATATTTAAGGGCTTGCGGTTATATAAATGTTTGATATTCTGCTGCTTGAAATCTGTAACACCAATTAAGTAATCTCTCCAAGTCTCAGTCTCCCTATGTAAAATAGTAACAATAATAGTACATAACTCAGACTACAGTTGTGATGAATAATATAACAGTATTGTCATAAAAGATTCATCACAAAAAAGTTCTGAGAATAATGTTTTCTCGTACTGTCAGCCATTATCATCCCCATCATGACCATCATTATGCCCTAAAGTGTGCTTGCTGGTGTGAGCCCCTGGGATGGAGATGAGATGGTGAGAGTTGTAGGAATGAATTGGGAACCAAGACAGGGCTGAGGTTAAGGCTCTGACCTTTAAGCTACAGAGAATGGGTTTAGAAACAACGCACCAGCTTTTAGTTCTAAGCACTCCAGAGCTTGAAGAGAACAGAGGAAAGGGGATCACACCCATAATTCCATCTCTATCTACTGATGCTGTCCAGACAGCTCCTGAAATGACTAGGTCATCTCTCACTAGAAGGAACCTCCCAAGAGCTATCGCACCTCTCACTTCTTAGTTTTTTCATTTATCTCCAAGTGACCAGGGGATGCTGGACAGAAGAGACTAATGGAGTTTATTCCAATGGAGAATATACCATGAGTCGATGATGATGTCAAAATGTGGTTGAATAGTTTGGAAGTACATTTTAAACATACCCACCACTTCATTTCAGCCTCTCATGCATCTCCTTGGTTATTTATTCTCAGTGGCTAAACACTAAACAACTGAACTTTATGCTCAACCTTGATTAATATAGAAGGTCACTTTACTCTTTGTCTCAACAGTCATAGCCTCATTCTTTTGAATTCTTTTTTAATGTAATTGGAGAGAAGTCTCTCTCCACTGGAATGATGCAGGAATCAGAGCTCACAGTGGGGTGTAGTCATGCATATAGTAGGATTTGTAGTACTTTTTCTTATACAATCAGGGTGGGTCT